CCTCCGCCCGCCCCACCCCCGCCTGGGTGTTTGTATTACTGTCTGCCACTGAAATGCAAACACGATTATCCAAGATTTCGTTTGCGTCAGGCTTCAGCGATTCTGGTGCAAAACAGGCTTTTTTTTTTTTTTTTTTTTTTTTTTTTTTTTGAGGAAGCAACGAGTTATTTTAGCTGTCATAAAGCCCCATCCCACACAGAGGAAATGAACAATATCAGAAAAACGGATCCGGGCTATCAGAAGCCGAGTGTTTCCTGAATGTGTCTGTATTGAGGATGTCGATAAAATAATCAGCACCGTGCAAGGCTCCTGAGGAAGAGCCGGCTCGGGCGGCCAGGAAAACATTTAACAGCTTCTGAAACCAGATTTACTCCTATCAAGAACCCAAGATATCCTGTATGAACGGAAAAGGGTCAGCCAAGCTCTCTGGGACGGCACGGTCAATCCTGCAATCTTAAAGGCAGCCAGATCTACAGGCGGCCGACGGGGGAGGGCCGGGGGGCACCCACTGGGGCTCGTTTTCGGTGTTATTTTGGACATCAGCGGGGCTGTGACCTCCCACCCCATTTCAAAAGGCAGTAGAGAAAAACAAGGGAAAGTTCTTTTGACTCAAGTCCAGAGGGACTCCCCCCCTTTTTTTTTCCTGTTAGGCTTGTAAACTAGAATCTTGGGGGCCGAGCCCCTTTATTCGCAGTTTTCTCCTAGAACCTAAACACGTCTCTACCTGAAAAACAGATCTCACGTTTCTGAATGAGAAGTTTTGCCCAGTTTTGAAGATTTTAGCCTTACACCCACTTGCTCCCGCACCACCTCCTCAGCAGAGCCTACTTTAAAAGGGGTATTAATTTAAGGAAATGGATGGAAGGGCGGGGAAATCTACGCAGAGGGGTGGTCGGCTTTATGAGTATGACTCCAGTGAATAAATCCTGAAGGTGTGAATGAGTACCACTAGGATCCCCCCCCCCTGATTTTAAATGCATCCACTGCAAAGCAGGATCAGGGGAGCTTATTTGCTTATTTCTAATGAATGCAGAATTTTCCCGGGGGTCCGTGTTACTCGGTTGCAGCAAAGACAAAGGCGGGTTGATGTGGCACAGTTAAGCCGAACAAGTTTCATCGGGCATAAGAGGTACGTGGACTGCACACCTCGCTTCATCCATTGCTAGTGTGGTCTCAGCTGGCAAGTTATTACAGTTCGCGCATCTAGCTTGTGACCAAAATGAAAAACAAAATCAAACCCCCCTTTTACATTTTAAAGTGAGGCTAAACTGCGTTGTTCTTACTTACCGTCTAGACCCTAAGACGGAGACAGAGCAAAACACAAACAAACAAACAAACAAACCCTAATTGAGGGAACCTCCAGAGTTTGGCGGCAGACGGGACCTTCAAGGAGGCTTATTTCAGTTCTAGGCACGCAAGTGGCAAATATAAAAATCCTTCACATTTTCATGTGAAGAGGCACTCATATAATTTTTTTAAAAAAATGTTATGCCTCCGAAAGATCCGAGTTTGCCTTTCTCAGCTCCTTTCACTGACAAATCTCCATCGGCGTTGTTTGTTGGGCAGGAAACATGCCGGTGGCTGGAGAGATTGATTCCTTGACTGACGGGCTGCGATTTAAGATTGATGGACTGAGAGAGAGAGACTGTTTGGGGCATAAGCTTTGAGAGACCGGACAGACCAGCGCGCCAGACAGCAGGGGCTCTTTGGCCAGTCCAAGCCTATCCCACCATGGGTCAAAAAGAGCCCCAGCATTTTCTGTGGCAAAGCCAGCAGCCATGCAGGGAGGGGCTGGGGTGCGTGTTGGCTCAAGAAGTCGCCTTTAAGGCGGGAAGAATTGCTCCCAGAGATCTACACCAGGCGAAAATATCCAATCCACTCCCGCATGAAAAGAAAAACTGATCTATATATATATTTTTTTTAAAAAAAAAAACCTATTCGAAATCGAGCAGCTCAAGTAAGGAAAGAAACAATCCCCAACCACCAAATAACCCCTGGTTATAACGGAGCGTTTAAACTGCCTCGTGGATCCTGGGTAACTAATGCGGAATAGGCGATTGCAAGGTCGCCTTCCAAACCCTCCTTGAGAAGCTGGGAGGCGGGGTAACTTCTTAACGGGGTGACGGGACTCCTTCACCTCAGGTGCCCTCCCAGGCAGGCAGGGGCTTCCGCATCTTGGTGAGGTGCGGGGAGAGCCTGCGGAGAGCCTGGTGCGAGAGCCTCAATGACAGGCATCGCGTGCGCCACGACAGCCCAGTGCGTCCGTATCCATTAAAACAAAAGACATCTTTCGGACTGAAGAAATATGACCCGCACTTGCCGCTACCTCCACGGCACCCTTGCCACACACACACACACACACACACACACACACACACCCCAGGCCCCGTCCTTCTGCCCCCCACCCTTACCCTCCTCGCGTTGCTCCGCTTACCCAGGGGGTCATGCCGGATGAGGGCATGCGCGTAATCTCCGACGGCGCGAGGAAACGAGTAGAAAGGGCCGGCGCCTGCAGTCCCATAGGGCCCGGCCCCATAGCCGGTGGTGGCGGCGGCGAAGTGGTGCGAGAAGGCCGGGTGGATCGGGGTCGGCTCGTAGATGGGGGTCCGGTAAGAGGCCACCAGGCTGGTGAAAGAGGAATTGGGAGAAGGCAGGGTGGGAGGAAGCGGCGCCGGCGCCGGCGGAGGAGGAGGAGGAGGCGGTGGCGGCACGGGCCCCCCCCGGGCCAGGATGTCTTCGATATAGAAGGGCGTGGGGTGCACCGGCTGCAGCACCGGGCTGGGGGCGTACATGGGGGGCAGAGAGGCTGACCCGGAGGCTTGGTACTGCATGGCTTACGGCCCTGGCCCTGGCCGGGGGGCTTTCTCTGGTCCCGCTCGGCGCTCCGATCCTGCGTGTGGACGCCGGTCTCCTTCCGTGGCACCGGCAGCCCCAGAACCCTGCGCTCGCCCGCCAGGCGCGACAGGTTCCCCCCCACCGGGTAGCGCGGCTGGGCGGAGCCGCTTCCTGTTGAGTCTGAGGCG